GACAGTAGTGAAGACGATGAAAGCCAAACTGTGAGTCCATTCTAAATCTATCGGTTTTAAGACCAGTGACTACAAAAAAATTAGGGCCTCTTTAAGCAGGTTTGATATGATATGGTTTTAAAATCTGAAAGAAGTGATATGAACATAAAATTGATTTGACATTAGAACCCATATCTCATGCGTTAACCAAACAGGCCCCCAAAGTATACGAAAGAAATTCTTGCTTCGTTAAAAGTCTTGACATTTTTGGTTTACTTATGCAGGTTTGTGTAGCAGATAGGCACCGGCCTAGAAAAAAGCAAAAGGTAAATAAGAGAGGCAAAGGAAGGGGATGGGTTCTTAAGAAGAAGGAACAACTGAGGAAGAAAGGGAGAGAAGTTCCCCCAGACACAAAATACACCGCACGAAAAAGAAAACACCGTTTTTGATCATCATGTACGGTAATTTATATACTGGAGTAGCACGTGTTTCATTTCTTTTTAACACTATTTATATGATGACAATTTTACGGCGCGGTTTGCCCTTTTTGTTGGTTTTATATTGTTCCTACTTTCTGAATCAAAATGCTTAAAATAGAACATTACACTTTTCTGGTTTCTTACTTTTTCTGAAGTTGTTGGGTGGTAAATGCATTTAGGGTCTAATAGAAATACTCTCTATATTTACAGGAGTAAGATTGTGCATGTTGACCAATGTTTGAGTGATATATTATATGGTCTAGACTAGGTATTTTGAGATTTCTTGAATAGACATTTTAGAATATTGTTCAGAGAAAAAATGGAATTATTTTGCATATTTATCATTTTAATTTGAATTAAAATGATAAATGAAAAGTGAGATTTAAATCTAAATATATACAACTAAATTGAGTCCATTTAATTTCTTGTATGTGGAAGAAATCAAGGCTGATAGTTGATCATCTTCTTTATTTGAACCACTAGAAAACTTTCACCTATGATTCTTGATTCAGCTGGCTAAGATCAATTCTCATATAAATATAATTGACTCAAAATCTCTTCAAGCAAATAAATTCACTCACCCTTCCAAGTTTCAACATGATGAAAGTGTTTACCCTCCTTTTCCTCTCTTTGTCCTTGGCAAGCCACTCAGATGGACTACACCTCTTTAGGGCACACAAGGTGGCGGTTCGTCTGACAAACCGCCTCGGCCTCGGAAGAGAGTTGACCGTGCATTGTCGGTCCCACGATGATGATATCGGGTACAAGACCTTGGGAGACGAAAAAGATATTAAGTGGAGTTTCCAAACTAATATATGGGGGACCACATTGTTTTACTGCGATTTACGCTTCGGGGGAGCGGATCGGAGAACGATTTATCGATTCGATGCTTACGATGATGTTCGGGATATCCGACGGTGTCGGAAGGAGTGTCGATGGATGATCACCAATCAAAGCACACTCGCAGGGTTCGATGAGGATACTGGCTTTTGGGAGCCCTTTGTTTTGAAAAAGATGCGACAATGACTCAGATCACCTCTTTAAAATGCACCCTATTATACATAGTACTACTACATGCTATTATGTTTTTGGTTGAGGAATTTTGGTATGGAAAAGAAAAAGATAATAAAAATAATTTTGTGTTTCGTAACGCAAAAAAATATTGGAAGATGGAAAAATGAAGAAAAATACGGAGTAACTAAGAGGGGATGTACTTTCTTCTAATGGGAGAAAACATTAAATTATGAAACAATTCCATAATGCAACATTTAGATGCCCCTAGCTTTACTTTAGTCTAAGGAAGAAATAGAGAGATTAAAAAAATAGTAACTTTTATAAATAATTACTCCCTCCGTCCGGAAATAAAGTTTACGTTTCTCCTTTTTCTCCGTCCGAAAATAAAGTTTACATTTCTAATTTTAACACATACTCTTCCAAAAATACCCCTCTACCTTTCTTTCTCTTCTTCTTTTCCTTCCTTAATCTTTATCTTTTCCCCGACCGTTCCTTTCTATTCTCCACCGCACCTCTCTCCTTATCTTCATTCTCTCTTATACTCACTCTTTCTTCACTCTTTCTTTTTTTCTTCTTTCTCTTTGTGTAGATCTGATTTCTTCTTCCTCATCATCCTTCTCCATCTTTCTTCTAGATCTAAACATATCTGTAATCTCACAGAGATGGGGGGTGGCGGCGAAAATGCTAGCAGTGATGGAGGGCCGGCGGTGGTAGGGTTGTGGTTGTGATAAGGGACGAATCGGAGGCGATGGGGGCAGACCTGGCGGTGACGACGGAAGTGCTGTGGCAGTGATGTTGAAACTAATGATTGTGGTGGGGGATGGCCAGGAAGGGAGGCTGCCGGAGACAGGGTGCGGACGGGGGGTTAGCAGCAAAGGGGTTGCAGAAATTAGTGGTGTGGTGAAGCTAGACATGGGAAGGGTATTTAGGACTAATTCACCTTAGAGTCAACCATCAATAAAAATGACCAAAAGTCAAAACGTAAACATTAATACTGGACGGAGGGAGTATTTATATGATAATGTTTTTTTTATCTAAGAAAAAATGACACGAGAATGATTTAGGTTGAGGAGGATCACACTTTGTTATCCCTTGTTTTTTTGTTATGTAAAATTGTTTGGTCCAATTTCTTTAGCATGATCACATACACATTGCAATCTTGATTTTTTAAAGTTTTAGTTTACTACTATACCTAGATGCAAAAAAGAAATTGTTATGTCAAAAATCACACTTTGGAGCCTATTTGCTCAATTGGTAGAGCACTTGCGAGTTTTTCGCATAATATATGGGTTCAAATCTCGTGTAGGCTATAATATTTAAATACAATCGAAATATTTTTTTTCTTTTGAATTTTGATTGAGGAATCTGACTATTCCCACTCAAATTCTTATGCATCTCTGGTCTTACATTTGGACTAAAATAACACGAGTAATAGTTAGCATTATAGTATTTAAATAAACTTATTTTAACGAGAGAAATAGAGTGTAGAATAAAAAATTCATACACGTGTACTACGTTAAAACTTATTATGTTATATTTAATGTTTTTTATTTTTTTATGTAACTCGAAAAAAACTATATTTCAAAAGAAAGAAATGGTATATTTGTAATAATTTTATCATTGGTTTAAGATTTATTACAAAATTTCTCATCGAAACAAATTACATACTCCGTAGTACGTAGTACTCCGTAATAAACTACTCTGTAAAATAATTCATATTCTTAACTCTAAAATATTTTAAAATGTCACTAATCTGCAATTAAAATCTAATTTATCTCCTCTCAATGACCGTCTGATCGGATCTTAGAGGCCTTCAGGGATGATGTTCATCCTTATTTTTTTTAAAATAAGAAGGTTTATTTTTCTTAAATTGATTCATATATATATATATATATATATATATATATATATATATATATATATATATATATATAGATACACAGACACACACACATATATATATACACTCTTGTATAAAATTTTGCTTTAATACATGTATTATACTGGTGACATAAATACTTGCTTTCCGAAAAAAAGTGAGATAAATAGGGATAAAGAACAAAGTAGGACTAAAACATTGAAAATATATTAAAATAGGATTTCCATGTTTTTATTCCTAAATAGGACTAACATTACCATACATGATCATATACATTACCAAAAAATATAATAATCTTCATATGTACACTGCCACATTATCACAATGCAAAGTCACATTAGCACAATGCAAAGTCCTATTTCGGAAAAAAAACATGAAAGTCCTATTTTGGTACTTTTCTCTATGTTTTAGTCCTATTTAGGGTGATTTCTAAGATAAATACTCCTTACCCCCCCTTTCGTCTTCATTTTGATTATAGTTTTTTTCTCTTCTTTTGATAATTTTGTTTATTTACACGATTTCATTAAGTATTTGATAGGAATAAAATAAATATTATTGTCACATCTTATTTTGTAGAAGGTTTTATGTAATTTTTTAATATACGGAGTATAATTTTATTTTTTTATTAATATACCGATTTAAAAATAAAATAATTCTAAAAAATGAGATATTTTTTTCTTAAACTCTAATTTTTAATCAAACTAGTATTTAACCCGTGCAACGCACGGGGTCGAACGAATGTTATTTTTAACTCTTTTAAATGCTTGTTTTAAGTACATAATTAAAAAATGAAGCTAAATATAATAGAGAATGTTAAAATTTTTAATAAATGATACAACACAAATAGAGCGTGATAACTAAATTTAATGGGAAACAAAATTGGAATCAAACGTATAAATTTATTAATTAAATCCAAATTTTTTGAAAAACTTAAGGGTAAACCATATTTTTGGTGCAATTGCTAGGGTTGTCACTGTCATCTAAAACTAACACTTTCAATCCTTTCTTGGTTTTCACTCGTGAAACTGTAACATAAAGTTGACCGTGAGTGAATACCGATTTGGTCAAGAATAATCCAACAAATGACAATATTTGGCCTTGACTTTTATTGATTGTCATGCCCAAACATAAAGATATTGGAAATTGTTTTCTTTGAAACTTAAACGGCAATCTAGGATCTGACGTGATGGTGATAAACCACCGATAATAAGAAATTATGTTTTTTAGAGAGAGAGAATGCAAAGTAGGAGTTTGTCTATTTCGAACTTGGATCCATTACATTGAGGGGTCTCGCCCCTTTTATAGGAGATACAATACAAACGGTCAAAGTCCTCTGATCGAGGCGCGTGGCCTAGTGGACGTCATCTCTGCCACGAGTTGTCCTTTTCATCCTATCGCTATCGCATAGTCAACGAAGCCAGNAGAAATTATGTTTTTTAGAGAGAGAGAATGCAAAGTAGGAGTTTGTCTATTTCGAACTTGGATCCATTACATTGAGGGGTCTCGCCCCTTTTATAGGAGATACAATACAAACGGTCAAAGTCCTCTGATCGAGGCGCGTGGCCTAGTGGACGTCATCTCTGCCACGAGTTGTCCTTTTCATCCTATCGCTATCGCATAGTCAACGAAGCCAGTCGCTATCCGCGATAGCTATCACGCGGGTCGCTGTCACGCGGGTCGCTGTCCCTTCCCTAGCCGAGCACATGGGCCGAGCCGAGCTCGCCATACGAGCCGAGCTCGTGAGCCGACCAGAGGACGCCCACGTGGAGGCTGGGGCCCGATCGACGTGTCACCCGGGGCTATCTTCCATCATAAGCCCCCCACTCTCCGGGTTTCGTTGCACGCGGCGAGGGAACACAAGAGAGTAGGTACTGTAGGAGCGGCGCGGGACCACGTGGAGGCGCTTAGCAGGCCATTGGTGCCGTTTGGGCTTCGCCATCATGGAGGGATGCGTCGTTTCGCTTCCCTAGGCCCAGTGGCGGCCCATCATTGCACCCCTTCAACATTTCCTATATAAATACCCACCCTACTCATCTCATTCTCCACTTTTAGAGAGAGAAATTGCTCTTCGCCGTCGCTAGCATTCCTACCGTCGTTCGCGTCCACTTTCCGGCTTCACCCTAGGTTAGTCCTCCTCGTCTTTGTCCTTTCATGTCTTCCCAATCCTCGGTCTTCCGTAAGCCCGAGTCCGAGCGCGACGCCGAGGGCTCCGTCGCAGGCTCTGCGCCGGGGAGCGACTCCCGCTCGCCCTCTGTTGAGGAGATAATCGAAGCGGTCGAGATTCCCCTCCAGTCCGAACCCCGCAACCAGAGACGGACCGTTCTCGAGGAGTCGGGGATCCGAGCGCGTAAGTGCACCCTTACTCGGGAGGAGTTCCGCAAGGCGAAACGCCTGGCCTGGGCACCAGGTGTCACGGTGCACCGTCCTACCGCCGAACAGTCGGTCTTTGACGCCCCACCGGGTTCCTTCGCCATCCACCTTAAATCCCTCGAGTATGGGTTCCGCCTCCCCCTCAATCAGTTAGTCATAGATTTCTTCCTCCACTTTGATTTCCTCCCCTGCCAAGTCGTGCCCAAATCCCACCGCTACTTAGCGGGATTTCTCATCCGCTGCCAAAGGACCGGGGTCCGCCCCGACCTGGCCCGCTTCTTACTTCTCTTCTGGTTGGCTAAGTCGTCTGGCCGGGCGAACTCCGATTCGGGTTCGTATGCCTCCATATCCCAACGGCAGGAGAAGCTCTTCAAGACGAGAAAAGACTCCGCCAAGAGTTGGAAGGGGAAATTCGTCTTCATCTCTCTTTCTTCGGGCTCCCCCTTCCGCGAGGAACCCCTCAGTTCCTTCCGCCGTCGCTCCTCCTTTGTCAGCTCGGATAGGATGCTCGAGGACGTAGAGACACTCTGCCGAGGGGGGCCCTTCGAAGTCGGCTCGATAGTGACGAACGATGCGTTGGCCGCACTCGGCTTCGTCTTCCTATCCCCGGAAGAAACTCAACGGAGCATCGAAGAAGGCCCCTCAGGTCAGTGCCATCTCTTCGCCTCGGCCATCTTTGGGTCGCGATTACCTCGGATTCCCCCGCCTTGCTCCTTTGCGGCTTAAGTCCCCGCCTCGTCGCTCATCCTCTTTTTTTTTATTTCTCGGTTGTACAGGTGAAATCATGCTTTCCAGCGCAGAGCGGATGAAGCTCATGAAGCCCGCGGGCTCCTTCCGTGGCCGGTCGCCCCCCGACTCCACCCGTGAAGCCCAATACCGAGGCGGCTCCGAAGAAGAGAAAGGGGACGGCCTCGGCCTCCGATGCTCCCCCGGAGCCCGGATCCCCACTGATGAAGGACTTCGGCCACCAGAAGTATGTCAAGGCGGCCTTCCCTAAGGGGGTTTCCTTTCTGGACCGGGACTACGACCCGGAGAGCTTTCTGCGCAGCATGACCCCTCCCACCGACGTTGCCAAGCTCAAGGACGCCGCCTGGGAACCTCTCGCTTCGGATATGTTCCACGAGATGGGCTCGGTAAGTTTCCCTATCCATGTTTCATGAATGCGTTTTTGCGGTGCTCACCCCTTGTGTGCCTGCTCACCCCTTGTATGCCTGCAGGCGATGATGCGTATGGTTGACGTGACCCAGCGGCTGCGCGCCACCGAGGCTGACCGGAGCAGGGCCTACGTTGATATTGCCGACCTCAACGAGGCGCTGAAGGTGTCCAAGGAGTTAGCTCGTCAAGCCGAGGAGCGGGCTCAGCAGGCCGAGGAGCAGGCTCGGCAGATGGCGGAGGAGGCAGCTCGGCAGGCGCGTCAGGAAGTCCGCGAGCAAGCAGTGGCCGAGTTCATATCCTCGGGTGCGTTCCAGGATGAGGCCTTCGCCCGCATGAACGACCTGCTCAAGGCATGGGGGCAGACTGAGGAGGGGAAGGCTTTTGCCCGTTCCGAGGGGACCCAGTGGTACAACCTCGGCTTGTTCCGAGCGCAGCAGGTCCTCTCGGAGAAGTTCCTTACTGGAGATGATATCCCCGAACCGTGCGACAACCTTGAAGAGTTCGACGCGTCCTACTATCGCATGGACGGCGGGGACGCGGCCGGCGAGCGGGCGAACGTAGATTGATAGAAATTCACAACTTTATTGTACTTGGATGTAATGTCGCTCAAAACTTGGCTGTTTTTCGGATTTTATTTTCTACTTATATGGATGTCATGACTTTGTCTGGAAGGGTATGTCGTACTTCTATTTTGTCTCCACTCATTCTGCTTTTGTCCAACTGGTATGCTCGACCTACCCCCGTCCGATCGGAGCTCGGCCATACCGAGGGGGGTCACCTTGGGACTTGGTTCTCTGACCCCTCGTTACCCGAGACGCTTGATGGGACTTGTGCTTTTGACCTGCCGCCCGCTGGGCCATTCCCATTCTGCCACGTGTTCCCCCTCCCCTAGGCGAGAAGCCTATATAAGGAAGGGGTCCTTCCATTTCCTTGCACTTATTACTTGTCCTCTTTAAATTTTTCCAAGCTGCATCATGCCGCGTTCGGCTCCTACTCCCCCCGATTCTAGCGAGATGCGAGGAGACACGCTCTCCTTTGGGAGTTCTTCTCGGGGGGGTTCTTCTGCCGTTCCGACCAAGTCGGGTCTGAGCTCGACTCCGCCGCCCTCACTGCGGGACTCTTGGGACTCTCTTTTCGAGTCTGCCTCGGTGCATCGTGATCCTTCTGCCGAGTTACCGGGGTCCACCGATTCGTCGGAGGATGATGATGAGAAGACACCGTCTCCTCCGGCTCCGCCGACCCGCCGCGGGGTCGTTCCCGCGGTTCCTGCCGTGCGCGGGCGTGGAGGCCGAGGTCGCCAATTCTTAGCTCCTCCCTCACCGGTCTCCAGTGCGGGTTCCGTGGCGTCTCACCACCCGAGCCAGAGCTCCTCTGAAGACTCGGGGTCGCCCAGCCAAGCTGAGTCCACCGGGCACTCCGCCATCAGCCAGGCTTAGCCCGGAGCTGTGGCGTGCAGCGAAGTTAGCTCGGATTTTAAATTCCGTTAGGTTGAATGATTGTAAGGCGTTTATGCCATGTACTTGCCCGTTTTCCGGAATAAATAAATCGTTTTTGATTAAATCTCGTTTTCGCTTTTTGCTTTTGGACGCATGGTTTGCGCCTCTCATTGTACGTTATTGTTTATTCGTGCTTGTTATCATTATTACCCGCGCTCGGTCGTTCGACCTTCATCCGAGGTGAACACCCGAGTATGACCTGCGCTCGGCTCTTTTCCCCTAAGGGGGAGGTGCCGAACGCGTTCGTTGATCTACGCCCGGGAAGAACATCCGGGTATGATCTGCGCTCGGCTCTTTCCCCTAAAGGGGAAGTACCGAGCGCGTTTGTTATGCATCTGGGAGGAACATCCGGGTATGGTCCGCGCTCGGCTCTTTCTCCTACAGGGGAATGCGACGAGCGCGTTCGTTGATCTACACCCGGGAAGGACATCCGGGTATGATCCGCGCTCGGCTCTTTCTCCTACAGGGAGAATACCGAGTGCGTTTCTTGATCTACATCCGGGAAGAACATCCGGTTATGATCCGCGCTCGGCTCTTCCTCCTATAGGGGGGATGCCGAGTGCGTTTCTTGATCTACATCCGGGAAGAACATCCGGGTATGATCCGCGCTCAGCTCTCTCCTACAGGAGGAGCGCCAAGCGCGAGTGTTAAGACAATTTTTCTTCGCAAAAACTAAAAACTTCATTCCATTGTCAAACCAAACAAGTCTACGGGTTCCCTTCTTTGGGGTCCGTGTACATCAGAAGTCTACTGATAAAACTTAACTAGGTTCTCAGCATTCCACGTCCTGGGCACGTCCCCTCCGCTCGGCGTCTGTAGGCGGAACGTCGACGGGCCCACCGTTTCCTTAATGATGTATGGGCCTTCGTAGTTTTTGGCGAACTTTCCCCCTTCCAGGGGGCGACTGACTGTTCTCTTGCGCAACACCCAATCTCCTTCCGCGAAGCCTCGCGCGCGCACACGGCCATCATGGTAGCCCTTCACCTTCTTTCGGTAATTCTCCGCCCGTATGAAGGCCGCTTCTCTCCTTTCGTGAACGAAGTGGAGCTCAGCTGCCAGAGCCTCTTCGTTACGCTTGGGATCGAAGACCTCTTCCCGATGTGTTGCAATAGAGATCTCCGCGGGGGCCCTCGCCTCGAATCCGTAGCATAAGGCGAAGGGGGTTTCCCCGGTCGCCCTCCTTGGCGTTGTCCGGTAGGTCCATAGAATGTAAGGAAATTCTTCAGCCCATTCTCCTCCGCAGGCTTCCAACTTCCGCTTCAGACCGTAGATTATCGTCCGATTGGCATTCTCCACCTGACCATTCGTCTGAGGGTATCCCACCGACGCATAGCTGTGCTTGATTCCCCAACTCTCGAGGAAGGCATTGAAAGGCTCGGACTCAAATTGCGTCCCATTGTCTGTGATTATGTGCTCGGGAACGCCGAAGCGGGAGATAACTTGCTTTGCGAGAAACTTCTGGCATTGAGCTCCGGTGATGCTTGCCAGGGGAGCTGCTTCTACCCACTTAGTGAAATAGTCGATGGCTACGATGACATACCTCACGTTCCCGGTGCCCCTGGGGAGTGCACCTACGAGATCCACCCCCCATCGCGCGAACGGAATGGCGGTGCTGATGGGGGTGTAGTTGGTTGAAGGTCTCCCCGGCACCTTCTGGAACTCTTGGCAGACTTTACACTTCTTTACAAACTCCGCGCAATCCTTGAGGATTGTTGGCCAAAAATATCCTTGGAGGGTTATCTTCCTACACCGTATAAGCCCCCTGGTGGGCGGAGCAAATCCCGGCGTGCACCTCCTCCATAACCTGCTTCGCTTCAGATGGTCTAAGGCATCGGAGTAGCGTCCCGTTGTACGCTCGCTTGTATAGCTTATCACCCTCCAACGTGTATACCGGTGCCCTCGTTCGGACTAGCTTGGCCTTCACCGCATCGTCCGGGAGGATGCCATCCTTTAGGAAGGCAACTATGTCGTCCGTCCAATCTTTGGGCTGAGCACAAATCATTGCCACGGGGAAGGCGTGGATGCTGGGTTCGGATAGCTCTTCCACATTTGCCATCCGTCTGATGTGCTCGGGCGTGTCCGAGCTTAGCTTTGACAAGATGTCCGCCTCCGCGTTCTCCGCTCGAGGGATCTGCTCGACGCTGTATGTGGTGAAGCTCTTAAGAAGTTCCAAAGCCGTATCTCTGTATTTCTTCATTCTTTCGTCCTTCGCCTCGAACTCACCCGAGACATGGCCAACCACCAGCTTTGAATCGCACTTTACCCTTAGCTTTGTTGCGTTCATCCCGGCCGCTAGGCGTAGCCCGCACAAGAGCGCTTCATATTCCGCCTCATTATTCGATGCCTTGAAACCAAACCGAATTGAATAGTATGCTCTGAAGCCTTCGGGAGCGATGACCACCACTCCACCCCCCGAGTTTTTGGCGGCGGAGGAGCCGTCGGTAAAAACTATCCACCAGTCATCGGTTTCAAGTTCCGGGCTCGGCTCTTCACGAGCGGTGCATTCCACCACGAAGTCGGCCAGGGCTTGCCCCTTGATCGCCGGTCTTGGCTTGAACTCGATCTGGAAGGCTCCCAGGAACACCGCCCACTTGGACATGCGAGAGGGCGCATTCGGGCTCCTGAGTAGCGCGCCTATGGGCTGTTGGGAGAGCACTTGAACCGGGTGGGCTTGGAAGTAGGGCGTCAACCGCTGCACGGTGGACACCACCGCTAGAACCGTCTTCTCAGCCACGGAGTACCTGAGCTCGGCACCCCTCAACGTCTTCGTCGTGTAGTATACCGGGTGTTGAGCTCCGCCATCCTCTCGGACTAGGACCGAGCTCAACGCTTTGGGCGACACTCCCAGGTAAAGATACAAAGTCTCCCTGGGCTCGGGCTTGGCAAGGACCGGTGGGGAGAGGAGATACGATTTCAGGGACTCAAAGGATTGTTGGCACTCTTCCGTCCATACAAATCCTCGGGACTTCTTCACGGCTTGGAAGAATGGGGCGGCTCGGTCCGCTACCTTGGAGAGGAAACGGCTGAGCGCAGCCAACTTACCGGTCAGGCGCTGCACCTCCTTAACATTTCGTGGCGCCTCCATGTCAAGGATGGCGCGCACCTTCTCGGGGTTGGGCTCAATACCGCGCCTACTCACCATATGCCCCAGGAATTTGCCGCCTTGAACTCCGAACGTGCACTTCTTCGGATTCAATCGGAGGTTGTACTTCTCCATAATCTTGAAGACCCCTTCTAAGTCTTCCGCATGGGTAGTCGCCTTATTACTCTTCACAATCATGTCGTCGACGTACGCTTCCATGCTCTTCCCGAGGACGGGCGCGAAGAGCTTGCTCACCATCCTAGCATAGGTCGCCCCGGCGTTCTTGAGCCCAAAAGGCATCACCTTGTAACAATATACTCCGCCGGGGGTAGTGAAAGATGTCTTCTCTTCGTCCTCAGAATGCATCCGGATCTGGTGGTAACCGCTGAAGGCGTCCATGAAACTCATGAGTTCGCAGCCCGCCGTCTCGTCCACCAGCTGGTCGATGTTCGGGAGTGGGAACGGATCCATCGGGCAGGCTTTGTTCAGATCGGTGTAGTCCACGCACATCCTCCAAGTGTTTCCCTTGGGTGCCAGCACCACGTTGGCCATCCATTCCGGATACTTCACCTCTCTGATATGCCCAATGCTCTGGAGGGTGGCCACCTCCTTGGAGACAAACTCCCTCCGCTCGGATGAGAGGAACCGCTTCTTCTGCTTCACCGGTCTAGCCTCCGGGTTAACCGCCAAGCGGTGACATATAACCTTGGGGTCTACCCCCGGCATATCCCCGGGCCCCCATGCAAAGATCACGCGGTAGGAGAAGAGCACGTCTACCAAGCGCTTCCGCTGGTTCCCGGTCAGGCTAACCCCGACCTTCACTTTCCGATCGGGCGCTCGAGGGTCGAGCGGCACTTCCTCGACTTCTTCGGCGGGCTCGGCCTTCGGCCTTGTTTCCAGCTTCCGCATTTCTTCTTGTGCGTGCACGACCAATGTCTCATCCCTTGGCAACTTCTTTGTGATTCGGACATAGCATGACCGGGCTAACTTCTGGTCTCCCCTCGCCACCCCGATTCCCGAAGGAGTGGGGAACTTCATGCACAGGTAGTATGGGGAGATTACACATTCCAAGTCCTCTAAGCCAGGTCGCCCTAGGATCATGTTATGCGCGCAGTTGATGCTCACAACCATGAATTCCATCTTCAGCTTAGCCTTGTGCGCACCATCCCCTACTATCACGGACACGGTGATGACCCCTTCGGCCTCAATGGAGTCTCCCGTGAACCCGGAGAGAGGAGTGCGCACGGGCCTCAAGTCTTTGCGCTCCAAGCCGAGGTCATGGAAGGTCTTCTCATACATGATGTTAACCGAGCTTCCCGTATCTACCAAGGTGCGGTGCACTATGGCGTCGTTGATTTCAATCTTCACGACCAGGGCATCCCGGTGGGGACTCGGCGTGCTCGGGAGATCCTTCTCCGTGAACTGGATTTGCTCCCGCCTTCCGAGCTTGGGCGCTGGCGCTTGTTGCACCTTGGCGACAAATGCCATGTGCTTCCACTTTTTCCTCTGAGCGGCGGAATCCCCGCCGATGTTTCCTCCATGGATAAATCCCACCGGGTATCCTTGCGCTTCATCCTCGTCTAGATCCTCACAATCTCGCCCGATGTGCCTCTTCTCAGGATTCCTTGCCTTAGTCGTCACCGCGACCGGCTCGGTCGGCTTCCTCCACGTCCTCCCCTCCGGTGGTCCCCAGGAGGGGGTGGCGTTCTCATCCTGTGGAGGCGGCCCTCGGGCGATGAGTCGCTGCATCTCCTTCTGCAGAGTGAAGCATTCCCTAGTGCTGTGAGTGTTATTGCGATGATACTCGCAATACTTGGCTCCGCTGGACACCGCGAAGGTCTCTGCGTGAGGAAACGGGGAGAGGGCGAGCTCTCGAACCGCCCCTACGGGCGCGCCCACAGAGTATACTCCGGCCGAGGGCGGCCTCGGGCCTGCGGTGTAGTCCTTCTTCTTCTTCCTCTTTTTCGCTATCTCCCCCGAATCTGCGGGAGCTCGTTTGGTCGATGCGACCTCAGATTCAGGGTTATCGTCGAATTCCTCCGACGCCAGGAACTTGGCGCGCGCCAAGGTTTCTTGGTACGTAGGGGGAGGATTCTTGCGGAGCTCCTTCCTCACCTCTCCACGAGGGAGGGCCGCTTGGAACATAGCCACCAAGGCTTGGTCATCCGCGCCATGCACATCTCTGGCTTCCTTCTCCCACCGGACTATGAAGTCGCGAACCTTCTCTCCCTTACGGATGCATATGTTGAGCATGTGGGAGTAGGGTAGCCTCTGTCTCCGGTTGGCCGCGAAGTGCGTTAGAAATTTCTCCGCCAACGTATCCCAATCGTCGATGGTCCCCTTCGGGAGTCGGTTGAACCAGTCACACGCGGAACCCTCTAGCGTGGCGAGAAAACACCGACATTTGACTTCGTCCGGGGCAGCTGCCGCTTCCATTGACGCGTAAAATTTGGACAAATGGTCCTGGGGATCCGTCGTTCCGTTGTAAGCCTTGATCTGCCACGGCCGGAAGTTGGACGGTAGCGGAACCGACATGACCCTCGGAGTGAACGGGGTCACCGTTCGCAAGATGGGCTGGCTGTAAGGGGCTCGATTCTCTACTCGGCGCTTGAGGTCGGCAATCTTCCGAGCGAGTCGTGATACCCCTTGGTCGGAATCCTTCGCCTTCACGGTTCTTGTCGGACTGCGGTGATGCTGGTCGCGCTTGTCCCGCCTTTCCCCGCTTCGCTCGGGCCTCGCCGAGCGTGCATCCGATGTCGCGGACTCCTCGGCCTGCCTTCGCCTGACTTGGGAGATCTGTCGGCGGAGGTCGCCCGGGCGGCCTTCCGGTTCGCGGTCGAGCCTATCGAACGCTGATATCCTCGTCTCTTCTCCTAGACGTTTGAAGGCCGAAACCCGACCCTCGCTAGACTCATCATCTTCCCCTTCCGGGATGTCCTCCACTATTACCTCGTCGAACGCTTGGGCTTTGCCGGGCCTCCTCCTGCCCCTCCGGGTCTTCTTCCCCTTGTGCTGGGAAGTGGCGGCATGTTCGACGTGGGGACCGAGCAGTGCTTTGCCAGCTCCAGCGCCGGGCACGTTTCCACCAATGGCAGAGAGTGCCGCGACGGCTGCCTGGAGTTGCTCCGTGGTCACCCCCAAGCCGAACAGCGCCTGGACCGCGTCTGGGGTCGAGCCGATACCTCCCGTACCGTTGCCGCTGCCCGGAATGTTCTCCTCGCCGACGACGTGGCTGGCGGTGGGGACGTTGCTCCTTGTTTGCACCATTCTCGCGTCCGGGAGTTAACCTGCGAGTATGTTTCTCGGCTCTCAATGAAAGCACCAATTTGATGGCGATAAACCACCGATAATAAGAAATTATGTTTTTTAGAGAGAGAGAATGCAAAGTAGGAGTTTGTCTATTTCGAACTTGGATCCATTACATTGAGGGGTCTCGCCCCTTTTATAGGAGATACAATACAAACGGTCAAAGTCCTCTGATCGAGGCGCGTGGCCTAGTGGACGTCATCTCTGCCACGAGTTGTCCTTTTCATCCTATCGCTATCGCATAGTCAACGAAGCCAGTCGCTATCCGCGATAGCTGTCACGCGGGTCGCTGTCACGCGGGTCGCTGTCCCTTCCCTAGCCGAGCACATGGGCCGAGCCGAGCTCGNATGTTTCTCGGCTCTCAATGAAAGCACCAATTTGATGGCGATAAACCACCGATAATAAGAAATTATGTTTTTTAGAGAGAGAGAATGCAAAGTAGGAGTTTGTCTATTTCGAACTTGGATCCATTACATTGAGGGGTCTCGCCCCTTTTATAGGAGATACAATACAAACGGTCAAAGTCCTCTGATCGAGGCGCGTGGCCTAGTGGACGTCATCTCTGCCACGAGTTGTCCTTTTCATCCTATCGCTATCGCATAGTCAACGAAGCCAGTCGCTATCCGCGATAGCTGTCACGCGGGTCGCTGTCACGCGGGTCGCTGTCCCTTCCCTAGCCGAGCACATGGGCCGAGCCGAGCTCGTGAGCTGACCAGAGGACGCCCACGTGGAGGCTGGGGCCCGATCGACGTGTCACCCGGGGCTATCTTCCATCATGACGGTACCAAATTCATTCTTGGTATGTAAACTTTCTCAATGGCATTATTTTTTGATACAACAATTGCACCGAGAACATTTCTTCGCAACTCTTCAACTGTTAATCTTGTACCATTACACAACCCAGATGTTTGATCAATGTTTCTTAACAACATAATTGGTACTCCTTTCTTCAAAACAATTATTCACATCTCAAAGTCCCAAAAAAGTAGTTTTAAGCAATTATTCATTGTGGGATTTTTTGAGATACACATTCTATATAATATGCGAAAACATTTTTAAAAAAGTATCAAGTTTAATCAAAGTATAAAACAATTTAAAGATTGGAGTAATTTTTGTTTTGGCACACCAAAAGATGAAGTAAGTATTCTCAAATTGTGGTATCTTATTTTTTTGGTAACATTGAACCTAATGGGTGTATTAATGCTAAGAAATATTGGAATTTGAAACCATTGCGGTTCTCAAAGATATTATCACAGTCATAATATTTTTCGTAAGATAACGTTACTCGTTGATTTTAAATAAACACACCAACTCCTATGGTTGAGCTAAGCCCCACACTTACCTTAAAAAAAGCCAGTGTTGAAGTTCCACATTTTTTGTGAGGGTGAGTCAAGAAATTAAGAATCTACGAATTTCTGAGAGCATAAGGAGAGTTTTGGGGCCATTGTATATATCTTGAAAAGTAAAATATTTAAAAAAAATATGTATAATAAAGAATGGTTGAACTGGAATTTGATCACGTATCATTTTATATCATTTGCTTATAAAAACTAAAATACGGAGTGCATAATAATAAATTAATTAAGCAAATGACATAATCTTTAGTTGCCAAGTCCAAAAAGTGAATTTGCCTAAAAGTGTAGCAGCACTACTTTTTCCAGTTTCTTCACAAAAAAAGGAAGCTGAAAACATGAGGAAATGTTGGTGTTGGATGGCTATGTTGCGAGCAAAAACTCCAAGAGCAGGAAAAATCAGTGCTAAATTATAGCATCATTGCTCACCCAAACAAATTACAAAAACACAACTGATTTGCAGCTTCCCACAGTTTTCCTAATTCATAAAACTAGATTAAATAATTAGAGTCAAGACATCAAGAAGGCAGCACTCAAAAGGCATAAAATTCCCAGAAACAAAAAAGAGGGAAGTGTGTGAAACCCAAAAACATCAAAATCTCAAAAGAAGCTAATTAACACGGGTGTTGACATATCAATATATCACCTGTGAATATAAATTGTGCAAACATGCAATCTTATTTAAAACACTAAATGCCAGCAAATTGTAATTTTTTTAAATTCAAACAACAAAGAATCCAAGAATTATAAATTATAATATGTCTAAGTCATAAATATAACACAAAGAATAACAATACTCTCAAGGTCACATATTAATTCTAGTATTAATTTTTCTCTATTTTAACGGTCTTCATCTTCTTGCTTGGTTCTTCACCGTCTCTATCACAATGTTCAACTTCTTTCATTCTTTTGTCAATAGTAGAGCATGTGATATCATCTCCTAGACGTTCAAAGTGATTATCCTTTGATTCCACAAAATCTTCAATTAAATTCTGCATGACAGAAAAAACAATCCTTTAATGCAAGACACATTAACAAACAACACCTATGGTGCGAACATAGTTTGAATTAAGTCTAAACAGAATAAATAGTACTGCTTGATACAATAGCTTTTCCTCTTCTTGTTTCAAATTTGCCTTGCTAACCTCAAGGATAAGACATATTTGCTTCCCCTTTTTTCCTTTCTATACAGTACTGCTAGCACCTATATTCTCTTGCTTGAAACCAATAGCATTCATCTCTAAACTTTTTATTAAAATAAGCAAATATAAGGTGCTAGTGTACACCTATTCCTGTTACTTACCCATATGCAATGCCAAGCACGGGTTAAAAGAATATACAAAGTTAATTTTATTCGTGCATTTTTTTAGAGACCTAACCTTCACACGTGATGATGCTTCGCCCATTGAGAAGGTGTGCTGCGAGTATTTTTCCCCAGTTGAAAGTCCCAAAGTCACATCTGTCTATTAATAGGAATTCCCAAAACAACATCTTTATTAGCATCCCAAAAGCAATGTGTTTATCATACATAATAAAGATATGAGTCTCGAAAATTTATATTCCATTAATAATGTAATCAAACCTAGGCCAAGAAAAACGTTGAGTTCCTTTCCTTGAATTGCGAGATGGTTCTCTCATCAAAACAAATGTCAAATGACATTATAGGAAGGATCAAACTCAATGCGGTGTGTACGACTAACATCAACTTTGAAAAGAGATGATACACTCGGTTGTATGTCTCCTCCCGGCAGGTTCTGTATGAACAATTGAAACAACGGTCACTAAGTACACCAAAATCAGGAACCAATGTTATATTTAATTGGTTTTTTTTCTCAGCATAACATACAGTGAAGGGCAAAAAAAACCCAAAGGTTTGAAATCAGTTTTCTTGAAACACACACTGCAAGCTAAAATAAAAATTAGTCTTCTCATCGAAACTAACACCAACTGCAACCATTCTTCTTTCTCACATCAAGAGTCATTATCAGCGGAACCACACACTAATTAATAAATCTTTTGTTCAAATAAATATTAGGCATCTCATAAACACTAAAAACTGATTAAGTGTGTCAGAATTAGGGTGAAGTTCATAAAAAACTGATATGGGACTAAATTGTTAAAAGTCAGTCGGGTCGGTTGAATGGTTTACAACGTCAGGCTTCGGGTAGAAAGTCGAACCCGATGGTCCAGGCTTGGGCGTAGAAATCAGTAGCATATGCATCTTGAGGATGTTAAAGGTGAAGTTTTTAAACAACTGATATGGGACTAAATTGTTAAAAGTCAGTCGGGTCGGTTGTCGGTTTACAGCGTCACGCTTCAGGTAGAAAGTTGAACCCAATGGTTCAGGCCTGTACATAGAAATCAGTAGTGTATGAAATCAGTTTTTTGAAATCAGTGGCATTTGAAATCAGTATCTTGAAATCAGTGAGTTGTTTGAAATCAGTTTGGCCATACCAAGGTTGTCCATACACCTCACTAAACCCACTCTGGACAAAGGTTGTCCATACACCTCCATAAACCCACCTCAGGCATGCAGTTTCTTAACACAGATTTCATATGCCACAATAACACAATGACCACAGATGTTTTTCCTAAACCAAGAGCAGAAGGGTTCAGGCAGTGCAAAATAAACCATGCCTCAATGAGTTCAAACCAAGTTATTTAAGTAGTCTTTGATTTAAAAATTATCTTTTTATAACATAAATAAGTCATATAAATGCTATCTATACATAAACTCACAGGGGTTATAATTTTTTGAATGTATAATACTTCCTTAAAAAATCAGTCCATGACAAATCAAGATACATAAAGCCAGATAGAGCATACTATTTGAGACCAATTATGATACAGTGGAGGTAAATATTATCTCCATCTGTTGATTTTAAAAACTACAGGGTCTAAAATAGTTCAACGCATCACGACAATGAATGGCTCGGTATGGGTCAAAGAATTTTAATCTGGACTTAAAACAGGTGTAAGATAATTTGTTATTGTCACATATTTATCCATACCTTAGAATATTTCAACATCTCCGAACATGATTTATGGAGCAGCAAGCATCCAACATATAAATCTGAAAATAATAACAAAAAAAGCAACAACAAAACATCTTTATCATAAACCAAGTAAACAGGCAGCAGCAAGGCTGTCTTCAAGGATGCAAACAGGCTGCTTAGGACTTAAACCGTTATAGTTACTGATTTCAATATACTTAAACTGTCCATACACCTCACTAAACCCACAGTAGCTGATTAAATTAGTTTTTTAATACCTAATGCCACTAACTCCACTAACAAACACAACCACACTGTTTTCTTAACAATGCTTTGAAATCAGTAAAACTGTTTTCTTAACACTGTCTTCTTAACACTGGTTTCTTAACCACAGTTTTAAGTATATTGAAATCAGTAAACCCACCTCAGGCATACAACCACACTGTTTTCTTAACAACCACTCTGTTTTCTTAACCACAAACAAAAAAAAGCCACTAATGTCACTATCAAAAAAGCCACACTGGCAGGCTTATAATCCAAAAAAAACAAATAGAACCACACTAAAAACATGCCAGTAATACCACACGGAAAAACCTATATAGAATAATAGAACTAATATAATGTATAACAAAAAAATGAGAAGGAATATGATGAATCAAGAGAAGGTGACATACATGTTCATCCATGAACACCATTTCAATGGAATTTATAGTCCTCCCATCATTATAAGCGGGTAAAGTATACAATCGTACAACACGAACCATTATCCTCCAACATTCACTGCTTGGAGTGATCTTCGACAGTGGATGGATGGTCATTGTCAGGGATTGAACGAAAAAACAAAAAGGAATATGAATCTCAGAAAACGGGAATTCTGGGTTGTTCTTGAGGAGAATGTATATATAGATAGAATTATAGGTAGAAAGAATACATCTATTAATAGAATATAAATTAGGTATATGATTTCTCAAATCTAATTAGGGTATACGAATATGAATTAGGTATGAATCACGATTTTAATTTTTTCAATCAATTGAAGAAAGCATATTGGTATTAATCAACCCTAATTTTGGGTAAAAATTAGGGAAAAATTGGGGTACCGAAGAAGAAAATCCTCATGCTATCGGAGTACCTGTGATTTCTTTCCTTCCGTGACCCAACGTAGCGAGGAATCATATTTGTTTCCTTTTCAGCATGAAGATTTGCAAGAAATTTACTACTTTCTGCGCGAAGAAGTCGGAGAACAATAAGTCGGGAAAGAATCCCTAATTCGGCTCGGAGTTGTTCGACGAAGGAGAGCTTCGCCAATATTTAGACGCGTGTCATCCGATGTGTAGTCAAAATAAGAGTCCTTGCCCGTCAAAATTATAGGCTATCAACTCTCAAATATTATATTAATTTCTCTCCACTGTTTCGCCCTTTTCTTCATCGTCTCCCCCTCGCTCGCACCTTCGTCTGCCGTGCGTGCAGACTCCTAGGGTTTTTCTCCCTCGCAGAAGTTCAAACTTCCGGCAAAATTTCCGGCAGGAATGTACAACGGGATCGGGCTACAGACAGCCAGGGGCTCCGGGACGAACGGCTACGTCCAGGCAAATAAATTCTTCGTGAGACCGAAGACCAACAAGGTCGTCGTGGATGCGGGAGGCAAGGGATTTGGGGAGAATCAGGGGATTGCTGGCGTGACCCGCAAGCCCAACAAGGAGATCCTGGAGCATAATCGCAAACGTCAAATCCAGCTAAAGCTCCTACTCCTGGAGGAGACGCTCTCCGAGCAGGGCTACACGGATGCTGAGATCGCCGAGAAATTGGATCAAACTAGACAGACTTTAGAGGCGATTGATTCCGCATCCGGTGCTGTCGGATCATCTGCAAAGTAAGAATACTTTTCTTAATTATTTTCATTCGATTTATTACATGTGATAATTTGGGGAAAGAGATGAATGTTTTTTTAACAGTGAAACCCTAGGATTACACACTGGGGGATGCAGTAACTAAATTAGGACTTGTATGTAGTAAATGGTTCATAAATATAAACTCCGTTCGTAAAAGATCTCTGAAACTTGACTGGTCATGGATAGAATTTAGAGGCTGCAAATGTTAAAAGATCTCTGAAGCTGCATAAAAGAGACGGCAGTGGAGGGAGAATTGTAAGGTTGAAGATCTCTGGATCTGCATAAAAATGTTAAAATCTAAATGTTAAACTGCGAAAAATGTTAAATTTTTACAGGCTGCATAAAAGATCTCTGAAACTTCTCACCAGTTAATATGATGGAGAAGTAGTTCCAACTGTTAAAACTAGTAAACATTCCCAGCTTACGTGGTTAACAGACTGAGTTTCTCGCAAGTTATGACGCTTTTCCACATTCAAAGTTGCCAGGAAATTATGAGCATCCATGTCTACCACATGGGTCATGACTCTTAAGGCTCCTCAGATTATGTAACTCTGATTTTCCATTTTACATGTATGAGGTTTGCATTTCGCTCTTAGGAAATGATTCATTGAACTGAATGTTTCAAAACCATTTGTGTTGGGCTAATAGTTGAGAGGGAGGGACACTTCTCCACTTTGATAATAAATTCACTTCTTTGGGACTAAACTGCTCAATGTTTTAAACATAGGGGTAGACTCCCACGTGATTATCTGTGGTGCTTGAGCCAGGGTCTCTTTGGAAACAGCCTTTTACTTTCAAGTAGCGCACACACACTTTCCTCAGACCATATTTTGTGGGATTCAACTGAGTTGTTGTTGTTGTTCTTTGGAAGTAAAAAACTGCGATATTACTCCCTCGTGCTTGTTTCCCTTTTTGGACCGGCCCAATTTCTTGTGCCTTTTTCCATTTATCAAAAGTATTGTGTGATTCACATTTTTTTCTCTTCTCCGTGAATTTAACCACCCAGTTTTACTTAATCTCAAAGTGTGCCCAGTCAAACTGAATGAAGTGGAAAGTAGATGCATTTTATTCTAATCGATATTAACTGACAGCCTCTTCATCTTATATTTGAAATAGTTAACATAGAATATGCTGTTATGAAAATTTATCTTGAGGAATAACAGAGTTTAACTTATGTGTTCAGTGCATTGGATTAAGGGAATGATCTTGCGTATTTATTCAGCACATAATTCTGCAAACTTTGTATGTGAACTAACCTGGCGCATGATGGTTCAGGGTCTCTGAAACGCAAACACATGAAATTGCTGCTCAGAAGGAAAAGCAGATGGAGATATTGAAAGACGCGCTTAAGATAGGTGTTGAAGATAGACACAAAAGGGAGCCTGATCTTCATGCTTTAGACCCTGGATTGAATGATGATGAAGACAACAAGTCAAGAAGACATAAGCTTTATGAAGGAAAAAATAAAGGAAAGGGGAAAGATGAGACTAAGCATCATAAAAAGAAAACAAAGAAGGAAGACCCTGAAGATTCCACTGATTGTTATAGTGACACAGATAGCGCTGAACAGGTCAAGAAACATAAAAAGAGCAGGAAAGGCCATGACGAGACTGACTCTGATGGTTCAGATATTGGATATAAGAAGAGGTCCAAGAAATCAGGAAGGACTGAAGATTCCACTGATAGTGACAGCAGTGGAGGGAGAATTGTTAGGTTGAAGAAAAAGAGTAAGAGCAAGAAAGATCATAAAGAGAGTGATTCTGATGATTCTGATATCGAGTATAAGAGGAGGTCAAAGAAATCAACCAGGAAGCATGGAAAAAGCAGGAGGTATTCTGAGTCTGAACACAGTTCTCGTTCTTCCCCAGAGTCTTATCATGCGAATGGTAATGGTGATCAAGATAACATAAACCGTGGTAGGAATGAATTACAGTGTGAGAGTCGGGGAAGTGATCGGGATTTTTCAAGGTATGGACAGGATAGAAGAGAAAACATGAAGGATGATGAGAAACAGACAAGGAAACACATAAGAGACAATGGGGAAAAATTGAAAGAGAAGCCTGGAAGGGACCACGGTAAACTTGGTAGGGGGCATGAAGAGGAGATCCGTAACATTCGGCGTGAGGGGGATAGAGAACTTGAATCTTCCAAGAGAGAAAGATATGATGATTCACGCTCTACTTACGAAAAGGACGATTTTTCTAGATATGAACAGGACAGAAGAGAAAGCGTGAAGGATGATGAGAGACAGTCAAGGACCCATAAAAGAGATGATGGGGAAAAAATGAAAGAGAAGAATAAAAGGGACCGTGGACAGCTTGGTAGAGAGTATCAAGAGGATAGTGATAGCAAACGGCACGAGGAAGAAAAAGAATATGGATCAACCAAGAGAGCAAGAAATGATGACTTGCGCCCTACTGGTGAGAAGGGCCTTTCTAGGTATGGACAGGATAAACAATTAAACATGAAGGGTGATGATAGACAGTCAAGGAAACACAAAAGAGATTATGATGATGAGGAGCTAGGCGGGGATTATGAAGGGGAGAGTGGTAGGAAACGGCATGAGGAAGATAGACGATATGAATCTACCAAGAGAGCAAGAAATGATGATTTACGCTCTACTGGTGACAAGGACCTTTTTAGGTATGGGCAAGATAGAAAAGAAAATATGAAGGATGATGATAGAAAGTCAAGGAAACAGAAAAGAGACAATGATGAGGAAAACAGGAAAGGGAAGATTGAAAATGTTGTAGACCATGGAAAGCATGGGAGGGAATACGGTGAGGATAGTGGTAGCACACGACGTAAGGACGATAGAGATTATGAGTCTTCCAAGAGAAGAAAATTTGACGATTCGCGCTCTTCTGGAAGAAGAATCTACGATGATGACCGATATGATGATGACCGGAGGTCAAAGCATTGAAGATGGCATATATCTCATCTTAGGAGGTATGCTATCCTTTATATTATGATCCATTTCTTGCAATTTCTAACATTGGGAATATTGGTGCTTTGTTAAAATTTTAGTGGGCCTGTTTGGTTGACTAAAGATTGGTGCATAGTTTATGAGTCTGATCAACTAAGCTACCTGTCTAGATATAATTATCCATTCCTGTAATTGGGGAGTTTTGTTGATTAATATAGTCATAAGTTTCTGATTATTTGATGTAAGCATAAGACCAGAATCTTTTTCCTTAACTTGCATTGAAAATAATCTTGGCAATGCTGATTGGAAATTTGATTTGTTTGGGAATTTGGAAGTTAGTTAAACCAATAGTTAGAGAGAATCGGTTTTCATCTTATAAAATTTTAATATCTAAAGAAAGAATATATCTATCACCTTTAGTGGTTTAAATGTTTATACCCTAGCAAACCAAGGATCAAGCATTTACTGAGTATAGAGATGGTAATTGCAAGAGGGTTTGTTTTGGAATACTCCCTCCCTCATTATTTTTTGTCCCTATTTTTTCTTAATTTGTGTCACCCGTGTCCTAAAAATAATGGGAGTAAGTAGTGAACAAATATTTATATTTTAGTGGGCTCAGTAATTATTTCTGAAGATATGGAATAGACGGAGGGATGGTTCAGTAATTGTTAGAAAAATAAGGTTCAATATATGTTTGGGTATACAAAAATAGTTGGCCATTGAGATTGTTTAAAAGCCTGCTGGCAACTGCTGAGATTATTGTGGTCAATTTTTCCTTGTATATCTTCTCTTTTCGATTTAAATCCAGTTACAGAAAGTTAGCTGTATTTGCTTTTGATAAGTGTTGAACTGAACTAAACATGAGTTGAACTGTTGAGCGAACACGCACCAAAGAATGATGTGGCTATGTTCATTCCAACTTCAATGGATTGCTAACAATTTTTCTTTTTTTTCAACACTAATAACTCTATAACTCTATTACAAGGTAGTATGAGTTTGTTCTCTTCTTCTCTTTAACTTACTCTTTTTGCTCAGATCAGGTCAGTAGATTAGATCAAAAATAGTTTTTAATATTATTACAATTAGATCAGAGCTTAATTGAATCAAATCAAAACCAATTAAGTCGAAGAGAATATGATCTGTCCATACACTAATAACAATTTTGCTTATGGTTTTACAGGTGAGCACTGTTCATGTGTCACAAATGTCACCCAGAGATTAATGGCTACTGGCAGCAAAGCATTCTAAGGTGTGTGACCTTTGTCTGTTACCTCTAAATTTCCTCTTCTTGATGACTTGTTGCCCATGCATGAGAGAGATGGTGCTACCCATTATCACTCCCTCTTATCAGATAATTACTTTTCTCT